AAAAGAAAAAAAAAAAAAAAAAAAAAAAAAAAAAAAAAAAAAAAAAAAAAAAAAAAAAAAAAAAAAAAAAAAAAAAAAAAAAAAAAAAAAAAAAAAAAAAAAAAAAAAAAAAAAAAAAAAAAAAAAAAAAAAAAAAAAAAAAAAAAAAAAAAAAAAAAAAAAAAAAGGGGTGGGAGGGGAAAAGAAAAAAAAAAGGAAAAATCAAAAAAAAAAAGAAAATAAAAACGAGAAAGATTAAAACAGAGAGAAAGAGAGCGTGAGAAAGGAAAGTATTCAACCCTAAGAACAGCAGTGTACAGTAATTGTGTGATGAAATTGTCACTTTTTTAAAGTTTATGTTGCTCTAAACTGCTTTTTTGTGCACGTAGTATTTGATTGTTCTGAATGATACACTAACACTGTTTTTTATAAGCACTTCTGGACTTGGCTGAGGTGGCACATGAAATTTGAAGCACTTTCTCCTCCGGCTGCAGAGTTAGGGTCAGTGCATCGGTGGTGGGACACGCAGTTCCAGCATCCTGACTTTGCTTGCAGGCTGGACAGATTGGAAGAAGGGCTTCCTCTGATCCACATCGGAAATACCTGATCTACTCACCATTGGGAAAACAATACGGAAACCTGGCAAAAAAAAATGGAATTTTTGGGTCATGGGACAAATGAACTGTTCCGTGTTGGGGGCTGCTCATCCCCAGATGGGAATGTACAACAAAGCTGCGCTGGAATGAGGCCAGAACCTGTTGGGGATCTGTCCTGGCCTTTCGAGCAGCAGCTGAGGCGTCTCTTGTGAAAAGAGCATGGCAGACTAAAACAAAAACAAACCTTGGTAGTTTTCAGTGAGAGCCCTGATCCCTCTGTGAACTTCACTTCAAATGACAGCACGGGCTTCTGTCCCCTGTTTTCTCAGCCCTTGGTCCCACAGCACTCTGCCATACCTGGGTTCAACACAATCAGTGCAGGCATTTGGAGTCACCTTTTGTGTTGCCTTGATTTTATGATGCTTTCTTTTCCTCAGCAGCTTGTTTCTGCAGCTTTATTGTCTTTTATAAATCCAGCTGAGGTGCAGAGGTCTAACAGAATCCAGTCACTGAAAATAAAATAAAAACAAAATGACAAATAAGACAGATTGGCTTAGTCCACAGTAGCTGAGTGGTAATAACCTTGCTAATGTGCTTTTAAAATATTGCTTTACCACCTACCACCCATCCTCACACAGAAAACATGGGACTCATAGTTTGAACTCAAGCCTCTTTGAGTCAAGGGAATTTTCCCAGTCAGATTCTAACTCCTTCAACAAGACCTTTATTCCATTCCTTTTCTTGTTTCTTTGACACCACTTTATTGAGAAAAATAGGAAGGAATGGCATTACAGGGAGAGCTTAATGTTTCCCATCTGTACTCTATGTAAGACCAGCCGAATCAGACCTTTTCTTCCAAGGGACAATTCAACTTTTTCTATGGTAGGAAATAATATAGTTGTCCACATGCAAAAGTTTAGAGCCATTTGTGATGTTTTAGGTATGTAAGACAGCCAGAGTTTTGTCAGATATGACATGAAAACTTTAGGAGAACTGAACTTCCCTGGAGAAGGAGCTGGAGGATCCCAGAGACAGCACGAGATAACTACAGGTGTCCACTTGACTTGCATGGTTTAGAACACATAGGAGGGATCATCTGGAAGTGCCTCTTATTCTATACAGATAACATTTGGAATGTAACAGTGGCATTTTGCACTGTACCTCACTACAAATTGTCTAATCATCCTCCTCTCCCTCTAGTCAGTGGAGAGAGAAAGGCACTTAAAATACCCGCTTTATCTCACCTCAGGGTGATGAGGAATGCCCTGAAATGGTGTACTTTCCTCGAGTAGGTATCTATATATAAAGGAAGCCAATAAAGCACAAAAACTCTCATACACATGTCTACATTTTAGCTTTCTAGAAGTACTTAGCACGAGTTACACCTTGGAGCATCAACCTTAGACTAAACCTAAGGACTGTGACAAATATCCAAGGGTGTTTACAGCCATGGTGTGAGGATTCAATCTGAATTAACCAGGTCATCCTCCCCTTCCAAGTGTATGGAAGGATATATATAGTACTTATGGCACGATGCTGTTCCTCTGGAGGTCAGTAAGGACATTGCCATCACTGTGGGAAAACACCATAGAAAATAAGGAATCCCTGTTTGTTTACATCAGGAAATCTGAAAAAAAAAAAAAAAATCCTATGCTTTTGCCCAAATTTGTCCTTGCTCATGGTAGGTAGATAACTTAGATACCTACTCCAGTGCTATCCAGGCACCATCCATGCATTAAAGGTATATCTCCATTAAGGCATATCTCCATTAAAGGTGTATCTCCACAGGACTCCATCTCCTTAAAACACTAAGATCAGATAAGTGCCTCAAAAACCTTAAACTTCAGTGAATGAATTTTTCACTCCAGCACTTCTGGAGAAATGCTAAAATCAAATGAATGATCCTCAGAGATGTCTTCAGCAGAAACATTGTGGTGCTGTTCTAGAACATGAAATACTTGAGTGTGAAAGTGGGTAACCATGATTAAAAGTGAAAAGGGAACTCATTCTGCTTTTTCTATTGCCCAAGAAGATGGATTAAAAAGGGGAAAAAAGTTTGACTATGTCAGATATGCAGATTTGCCACATGAAAATTTGCTGTAAAACAATTTAATTGTAAACCTCTACTTCTAGATGTGGATAAATTTAAATTAGATTTTGATGGAGGGGAAAACACATAAGAAAAAAATTTTTTAGATGTTTTTCAGTTTTCTCCACCAAGAATATCAACCTTCTGGAGAAGGAGGAAAGACTGGTTGGACAGATTAATCTGTGAAACTGTTGGGGAAAGAAGCATTTTCTTACCATCAAATTAAAATGTCTGATATCAGAAATATTATGCATACAGAATTATTTGAAGTATTTGCCTCTTCAGGATATGGTCCAAAAGTCCCAACAATAATTTATTTCAAGACTTACGTCTTTTGCTGTTACATAATCACTATGAGCCTCTGCTCTGCAGGCAACAAATTATTTTTGACCTGGATTCCCCTTTGATCTATTAATATTAATAAATCTGAGCACTCTTCAAGCCCCAGAACTTCCACTTTTTTACTTAATGACCCCTATATATTTTTGGTAAGGTTCAATATAAACCCGATTCTACCTGGTTGAACTGCTATATATTCTTACCCGTAAGAGGCTACCTGTATTTACATCTCAAACTTTCTGGTTTTTCCCATAGCACATTTTAAAAGCAAAATTCTTTTAAAATGTAACTCCAAGTCTGCTGACATTCACAGGCTCTCTGTTTTTTTGTTTTTAATTGCACACAACAATTTTTTTCTGAGAAAAACTTTTATTACTGCCTTTTCTGCTGAACTGTCAGATCTGTTTGGTGTCAAATTGCCTTTAGTTTTTGAAATTGGGACTTTTAGTGTGGTTTTAAGCAATGAGTTCACTGATGTTGCTGTTAAAATCTCAGCCTAGATTCGCATCCAGTTATATTCCCATGTTGTCCACATGCCCAAGTTCCCATGTTATGGTTTTGGGGTTTTTTAAATTGTTTTCTTAGTCCTTGTCTCTGTGGAAGTGTCTCCATCTCAAGATACATTCATGAATTAGATTTGCCTGCAGGAAGGACACGATTTGAAGTTAGTGGGTGCTCGCTGGTGGCAAATTCAACTATATTTGTACCATTTTGACTTGTAAATTATCTGACCCCCCCCCCCAAAAAAAAAAGAAAAAACCAAAATCTTCCTTTAAGAGGTCATAGAAGTGTTTATTCAATGTCAAAACCACCAAAGCACTACAGAAAAGTATCCAAAATTCTGTGGCCAGGACAACGAGACATCATGATTTTTGAGCTCCAAAAATTGATTCACATCCCAAGTTCTGTCTGAGTTGGATCCTGTTGTATTTCAGCCCATTGCTCAGCTCTGTGTGAATCACACCTTTCTCACCACCAATCTCAAGACACTTTAAGTAGGACCCTGAGCTTACTCCTTGTCCTAGGCCCTGACACATTGACTCAAAAAGACCAGATCCTGATACTTGGATTTATTAGCAAATTAATCATGAAGTAGACACAGTGATAACCACACACCTATTTTTGTAGAGCAAGGTGTTAGTCACAGTGAGTACAAACAGTTCATGTCTTGACTAAGCTTAGAAGGTAAGTCTGGCAGAGCAGGAGGAACATTCCCACCCCCAACCTCTGCCCTCAGATTTGGTTCTCTGTGCACACAGTCCTCCTTTAGTATCATTTCATGTCAGATATGTGGAGTAAAGGGAGAGCTTTATCAGATGATGAGAACTGGAACAGAGTTCTTGTGGCCTGTAATGGGGAGTGAACCACAGACATGCAGTGATGACCCTACCACCTACAACTGAAGACTGTCAAGAGTTTTGTCCTTCATGCTGCCATCTCTAACCCTAACTCCTTCTGGGTGTCATTCTGTTGCCTTGGAGACCTGGCACAAGGGGTGAATCTGGACCTTTCATTTACTTCTTTTGTAAAGATAAGCTCCAACATTCGTTGGGAAAAGACTTCAGCTCTCCAAATCAACATGGAATCTGCTCTTTTTGAAGCTTCTCTGTAATTTTTCCTAAAACCAGAAAAAAAATCTGCTCCAGAGCAGGCACAATGTACAGTCCTTCCAAATCCTGGACCTCTGTAAATATTTCCCCAGCTCATCTCTTCCTTTGAACGTGACTCAGTGGCACAGGTGCAGCTCACAATTTTGCAGCCAGGCTCCTGAAGGGCTGGTTACTGTCCCAAGAGCCAACTTCTCTAACTGCTATTTTTTGTTTGTTTGTTTGTTTGTTTGTTTCCTAATACCAACAAGCAGTTTTGGTCTTAGTTGTCTTAGGTATCCAAAAGGGCTGCTGGTGA